TCCTGTAAGGCTGTGGACTCCATGCGATTATCTATCTCCCAGCACTTTGTTTTGTATACTCGTAGTTTTGAGTTTGTTTGGGTGTGTGTAATAGCTTATGTGCATTATAAAACATACAGAAATAGATATTTTAAAATTTTAAGTGATGAAATAACAGCAAAACTTAAGTTACTGCTCCATACTATCATTTGATTATGGCTTAAGGTACAGTAACTACTTAGAGCAAGGTTCATTGCTGATGATAGTAAATGTGAAGACATATTTCAAATTACCTTTCTTGATAAGTTTGAATTTTTTGGGTTAACATCTTAGATCTGATTAGCTTGTTGTTTTTAACTCATAATGTGGCTGTTGACAAAGTTAATTCTGGAATAGAAAACTTAAAGCCTGCCATTTTCTTGTTAACTTGTGCTAGCATTATTACAATTACCTTCAGTATTGCAGTTCCTTCCTAAAAATCTCTTCATGCCGCTTTCCATACTGTAAGGATTGGTTTACAGGCAGTCCCTGGGTTATGAACGTCCAACTTAAGTACAACCTGTAATTTAGAACCAACCCCATAAAGCCTATTACAGACAGTCCCCAGGTTACAAATGAGATCTGTTCCTAACTCTATCTTTAAGTCAGATTTGTAGGTAATTTGGAACGGGTGCATATGGTTCTTATTTTAGCCTTACTTTAGTGCAATAAAAAGCTCAAAGTCTTTTCAGTGATTTAAAAGCTGCACATGCAGCAGGTGAAGGTGATTGTGGTGAAGAATTTGTTGCGAGTAGGAGTTGGTTCAGTCGTTTCAAAAGTGAGGGCAAATTTACATAACATTGAAGGGCAAGTATGAGTTGTCCCAAAGTCTGATGTTCGTATCCCGGGGACTGCCTGTATATACCAAGACAAACATTTGATTAACGGACATTAGATACAAACCGTACCTAACTGTTCAAACTTACGTACAAATTTAACTTAAAGACAGATTTAGGAATGGAACTCATTTGTAATCTGGTGATTGCCTGTAGTTAAAATGTGATAATATGATCTGTAAAACTGCTTAGCCAAGGTCAAGTAAACTGCACATATGCTGAAAGTAAGGGACAGATAATGGGGTCAGCATTTGATGTTGGACTTAAGGTGCCTGTAGACCATCCAGGGAAAAAATGCAGTTTTAAATATGCCTTGAGCTGGACAGAAAGATCCGGACAGGAGAGAAGGATTTAAGAGTATGAAGCCATGAGATGACACATGAGAATACATGGAGAAAGAAAAGTACCAAGGATAGAACCCTAGGAAGCATCAACGCTAAGATTTGGACAGAGGTAGAAGGGCAGTGAAGGAGGCTGAGATAGATTGTTTCTTAATTCTCTGTTGGTAGCATTCTGGTTGTTTCTCATTATTTGTTACTGCTCCTATAAACCTACATGAGCAGTCTTTTCATACCTGTCTGATTAATGCTTAGACTAAATCCCTGGAAGTAGTATTGCTGGATCAAAATGAATGCACATATTTAAGACTTATCTCGATACATTTTGCCAAATTATACTGAAATTTAAAACTGCTTTTCATCTCACTGAAAACCTGAATGTTGTTATTTTAATTGCCATTTCTTTGAATATAAAGGGGTCAGCATCTTTCGTATGCTTATTGGCTGTTTGTATTTCTTTTATGATCAGTCTTTTTGTTTACTTCTTTTTTGGCTTGGCTTTTTTTTCTTTGCCTTTTTTTTTTTTTTGCTTTTTATTCATTTATTAGAACTCTATACATTGCAAATATTTTTTACTGCTTGTCATTTGACTTTTTATTTTGAAATAATGGATTTCATAGAAAAACTTTACATTGTTTTATAATTAAATCTGAACTTTTTTCCTTTAACTTCTGCGTTTTGTGTCAAGCTTAGAACGTCCTTTCCTACCCCTGGTTATAACAGATGTCTGCTGTCATAGCAACCCTCTATGTCAGAGTAGAACTGCCCCATAGTTTCCTACGCTGTAACCTTTACAGGAGCAGATCGCCAGGTCTTTTCTCCCATGGAGCTGCCAGTGGATTCAAACCACTAACCTTTCAGCTAACAGCCAGGTGTTTAACCATTGCACCACCAGGGCTCCTTGATTATGACAATAGTCACCAGTATTTTCTTCTTGAATTCTCATGGTTTTAGGTATTGCATTTAAATAATTCACTTGTAATTTTTCAGTGTAAGGTAAAGAAAATTTTGTTTTCTTCAAATCGTCAGGCATATAGTCCAACTTTTTTTTATAAAATAATCCATCTCTCTGTTTTGAAATGGTTCTGGGTTGAGCTAGAAGGTTCTTCCACTCTGCGTGGTATCAGTGGGGCTGCAGTCATCTGGGGAGCCTAATTGGGCTGGAACATTCGAGATGGCTCACTCATGTCTGGCAAGGTGGTGCTGGCTGACTGTTGAAGCTTGCTAGGGCTGTCAACCAAGTGTTTGGTTGTCCTCTATGTGGTTTTTTCATGTTGCTTGGGCTTCTTACAGTGTGGGGGCTGCGTTTCAAGAGGAAGGAGGAGAAAACTGCTAGGCTTCTTGAGGCCTGGTTTTGGAAGTCCCAAAACAGTGCTTCTACTGCATTCTCTTGAGCAAAGCATCATGGGGTAGCCCAATTCAGGGGAAGGTGAAGTAAACTCTGCTTCTCAGTTGAAGAATGGCATGCACAGACAGGCAGAAAAGCAATTGATGGTGGCCATCTTTGGAAATTGTCTACCATGAGCCATTTGCTGACTCAAATTCACTGTTATTTCACAAAGGATATTAACCAAAAACCAAACCCGTTGCTGTCGAGTTGATTCTGACTCCTAGTGACCCTGTAGGACAGAGTAGAACTGCCCTATAGGGTTTCCAAGGAGCGAGTGGTGGATTCGAACTGCCAACCTTTTGGTTAGCAGCCAAAGGATATTAGATCTTTTTATTTTTTTATTTATTTTAATTTTTTTATTGCACTTCAGGTGAAGGTTTACAGAACTAATAGATTCTTCTGAAACAGTAGTACACATGTTGTTTTATGACGTTGGTTAATGCCACGACATGTCAACCCTCTCCCTTCTCGACCTTTTTTTTTTCTTTTTTTGGTGAAAATATACATAGCCAAAGATACACCATTTCAAAAATTTCTACATGCACAGTTCAGTGACATTGACTGCGCTCTTCCAATTGTGCTGCTATTCTCACTTTGGATGAAGGTTTACAGAACAAAATAGTTTCTCATTAAACATTTAGTACACGTTGCCCTCTGACAATGGTTAACAACCTCACAACACGTCAACACTATCGTTACTCAACTTTGGGTTCCCTGTCACCAGCTTTCCTGTCCCCTACTGCCTTCTAGTCCTTGTCCCTGAACTGCTGTGCCTCATTAGTCGCATTTGGTTTTATGGGGCTGTCCATTCCCTGGCTGAACAGTGAACCTTGGAAGTGACTTCACCACTGAGCTGAAAGGATGTCTGGGGGCCATACTCTCGGGGTTTCTCCAGTCTCCTTTAGGCCAGTAAATCTGGTCTTTTTTTTGTGAGTTGGAATTTTGTTCTACATCCTTCTCCAGCTCTGTCCACAACCCTCTGTTGTGATCCTGGTCACAGCAGGGCACCATCTAGCTGTACTGGACTCAGTCTGGTGGAGGCCTTGGTAGCTGTGTTCCATTAGTCCTTTGGACTAATCTTTTCCTTGTATCCTGTTCTCTTCACTCTCCCTTGCTCCCAAAGGGATGAGACCAGTGGAGTATCTTAGATGGCTGCTCACAGGCTTTTAAGACCCCAGATGCTACTCACCAAGGTAGAATGTAGAACATTGTCTTTATAAACTGTGTTATGCCAATTGAGCTAGATGTTCCCCGAGACCATGATCCCCACAGCCCTATTAGATCTTTTTAAAAATCCCTTCTAAGCAGTTAAAAGTCTAATTTGATTGTAACCTTTTGAAAAGATAGTTGGTAATTTTATCATGCTATTTCTGAGTATTTTCTAATGCTTCCTGTTTACAAAGCACTGGACCAAATGCTGTGTAACTATTCATTAACACAGGCCTAGTAAGACCTCTATTTTTGTCATCAGTGGAATATCTGAAAACTGACTCTGGTTTACTAGTTACATGATCTTGGATTGATAACTTCAGTTCTAGGAGCCTTGGTTTTCTCCTCTATAAGGGGCGTAAAAAAAATCTTATATATTCACAGAGCTTGATTATCATGTTTATAAAAATGCTTGTTAAGTGGTAATATATTGTTAAATAAGTATAAGATTGTGTTGTTATTGTTATATACAAAAAAATAAAATTGCCTTCTTTAAAGCGTTATTTCTTGAAGAAAGGTGTGAGGAGGATATTGGAATGCCCAAGGGTACTCATTTTCATTCTATATAGCACCTTCTGCCAACCCTAATTCCCAGGTAGTCAAGGGGTGAGGGCAAAATATAGCCTGAAAAAACTTTCCCATCAATATATCATCTAATTATTCTTTTACGCAGTCTGTTACGGATATGTGTATATGCAAATATTTTTGTTTATGCACGTAACTTCATGTTTCTATTTCCCTATTTATTTTTGGAGGTTGTACAGAAAGGTTTAACTATCTCTCTATAACAGATGGCAGCTTGGTTATGAATCCTCCCTCCTTTCAACTCAGTAACCAAGAAGAAACCAAATCCCTTGCCGTCAAGTCTATTCCAACTCATAGCAACCCTATAGGACAGGCTAGAACTGCCCCATAGAGTTTCCAAGGAGCAGATGGTGGATTCAAACTGCCGATCTTTTGGTTAGCAGCCGAGCTTTTAACCACTGCGCCATCAGGGCTGCTTCAACTCAGTAGAGAAGACTATTTGATCTTGCCACACATCGAGCATTAGAGTCACCTAGAGGGCTTTTAAAACACAAATTGCTGGGCCCCACCCCCAGACTCAGTAATTCTGGTTGGAGACGGAATTTTCATTTCTCACAAGTTCCTAGGTTACCCTGATGCTTCTCACCCAAGGACCACACTTTGAGAACAACTGTGTTAATGCTTTTTGGATCTTGTATCTACTTTCTTCTTTTTTTATTTCTTTTTTACAGTTGCAAAAATATATGTAACCTAACATTTGTCAATTCAGCATTTTTCAGATACATAATTTAGTGATATAAAACTTTCTTTTGTCTTCTGTGACACTCTCCTGGTTTGCCGCGTCGTTAATTGTTCTGCTCGGCACACATGGAGTTGCTGTGAGTCGGAGTCGACCAATGGCAACTAACAACAACAACCATCAACCTTGTCCTCACAGCTATTGTTTCCTCACTGAGCTCCCTATTTATATACTCTAGCCCCCCTACAATCCATTCCTCTTTTCAGAGCTAGAATGATTTTTTTTTTTTAATGTAAATCACATAACATCTTTCCTTCCTGAAAACCCAAAACTTCCCTTAAAACTCCCTTAAAAATTGCTTCCCATTGCACTTAGCCTGCAACGTATACTTCTTTTCATTGGTGTATACCTTTCAGGATCTGGCCTCTGTCTCTCCAGGCTTGTCTTGCATCATTCTTCCTTTCTTCCCACTGCACCAGCCTCACCAAGCTCTCCAGGCATTTCTTTAGGTCATCACCAAACTGTCACCTTTCTTAGTGAGGCTTTTCTGAGTACCCTGTCTAAAATTGTGTGTGGGGTGGGAGAGTGTGTGCGCAAGCACACACACACACATACGTACACAATTATGCTCCTTTTTAGTATGTATGTCATTTTCTAAAATTTTTTTTTCTTATGTGTCTTGCTTATTTATTTGTCTCTCTTTATGAGAATATAATCAATTAGAGCAAGAATTTTGGTCTCTTTTGTTCACTGATACATCTTCAGTGCCCAGAACAGCATGTAGCCCAAAGATGAGGCTCAAATATTGTTTTAATAAAGAAATAAAGGGTTTTTGTTTTGTTTTTAGTTTTCCCTAAAAGCTTTTTCATTGATTGTTTCTTCTCCCCCATCTTTGGTTGGTTTCTGCTGTCATTCAAATATCAGGTTAGTTGCCTCCACACATAGCCTTCCTATACTACCCAGCCTCAAGTTGCCACCAGTCTTTTTCATATTATCCTATTGGGCTTTTTTTTAAACAATCTGATAGTTTTCTTATTCATCTTTTGGTCTGTCTATTCATTGTCTCTTTTCCTCCGCTTACCCCCAGTTGAGGGAGGTTCTGTAGCCTCCATCATGCTCTCTCATCTTTCATTCTCTTCCTTCTCATTTTCATATCATCCTGTTGAGCTTTTTTTTTTTTAAACAATCTACTATTTTTCTTACTCATTTTCTGTCCCCATGGTTTTAAGTAGAATGCTCAGGGTCAGCCATTACTTCATCACTAGGTGGCACTTGTGCATCATGAACAGTCATATGTACCTGTTATAGTTTTTGTTACAAGTGCATGATCCACAAATATAGATAATATTTGCAATCCCTGCATGGACAGTTGAGAATCAGTATACCTGAGAATAGGTAAATGAAACAAGAGGAATCCTTCTAAGTATCCGTTATTTTGATGTATTTGTAAATACACAGTTGAAGAGTATATTCAAATTATTTCATAATCTTTATTTCATAGTTAATAGTAATGTCAACAGGTAGGCTTGTCTCCATGCATATCTTCTTAGCCTAATGTTGGCATAAAGTTGAATTTTGTTTTGAGGTCTGTTTGAGGTTCACCTTAGTCCATCTTGAAAGAAATGAATACATACTCCTTACACTAATTCATAGCCAACTCTAAGCACTTATTCTTTTGTAATACTTAAGAAAACACCTAGTATTAACCTGTGAGCCCTATAGATATTCACTGAGGAAAATGTGATTATCTCCTTTGGAACTGATTTTGAGAAAACTGAAGCTTAAAGACATTTAACTTACCCAGCATTAATATCTAATAGGTGGGCAGACCCGATATTGAAACTCAAGTCTTTTGGGTTCTAAAACATGGACGGGCAGTTCTTCCCATTGTCCTAATGCCAATACCTATTCATGATATAGGTTGACAGGTAACTGACTGACAAGTACAAGTGACTGATGTTGGTTCTTTTTCTCTTATGACAGGTGTGGAGGGTTAGGGTAGGAGGATCCATGGCATTCAGGGATAGGTAGGGTAAAAAGGCAAGCACCAAAGGAAAGATTACGTGCCAGAGATTTTGGCCTACTTTGCAGTTTTTCCTAGGGCAAGCCCAGTTTCCTTTTAATCAAGGACAGACAGAAGCTGAATGTAGAAGTCTTTTGGTCATTACATACTGTAGGTTTCAAACCTGTCTTCCCTGAATGCTTACTGGCTGTGGGATCTTGGGCAAGTTATAACTGTGTGCGTCAGGTTCCTCACCTCTAAAATGGGGAGAGTTAAATGTGTTAATACATGAAAGGCACATAGAGCAGTTCCTGGTACATGATAAGCATTCAGTAAGTATTAGCAGTTTGGATGGCTTTATGGATTGAGCAATGTGGGAAATGTCCATAGTGCTGTGTGTGATTTCTGAAGTGGAATATGAGCTGTAGCAGAGGGACCATACTTCCCAGTTTGTGACTACTGTCCTGACATAGTTTCTACTAGCATCCCTACTTAACTCTCCAGAGTGTCCTGATTTAGATAATAAATTATTTGATCACTCTAGCTGTTGCCAACTTTGTTATAGAAGAGTTTTATGCCAGGGATTTATTCATGTAAGTTTATCTAAACAACACTCATCCAAGGGAAGACATAACTGCCACCTTCTGATATATGAAGAATTTTATATGTGTTGTGAATTAGGAACACTAACCTTCTGGTGTTAGACTGCCTGGCATCAAACCTCACTCCACCATTTAACTAGCTATCTGGCCTTGGGCAAGTTAGTTTACTTCTTTAAACCTAGGTACTTCATCCATAAGATGAGGATAATTTTATACCTGCCTCCTAAGGCTGTGTAAATGAGGTAATGTATGTAAAGCATTTAGTTCAGTGTTTGCTGCATAGAAAGTACATAATAAATGAGAGGTAAAAGGATCCCTGGTGGCGCTGCAGTTAAGCACTGGGCTGCAAACTGAAAGGTTGGGTTTGAACCCATACAGCGGCTCCATGAGTGAAAGACCTGGTGATCTGCTTCCATAAAGATTACAGCCTAAGAAACCCTATGTGGCAGTTCTACTCTGTCCTATAGGGTCGTTATGAGTCGTAATCGACTCAGCGGCACACAGCAACAACAACATTTACCCGTCAGTTAGCTTCAACAATAGTATAATACATGGCCAATTTTTTAAATAACTTTATTGAGATATATTTTATGTATCATAAAATTCATTCATTTGAAGTATACAGTTCAGTGAATTTTAGCAGATTTTCCGAGTTGGGTAGCCATTACCATAAACAAGTTCTTGAATATTTCTCTATGGCAACTGGTTTTTCAACTGGTTTGTTGGGATTTTTACTACCCTCAGCCCCAGGCAACGACTGATATACTTTTTGTCTCTATAGACAAAACTTTTGTCTCAAAATTTACCTTTTCTGTACATTTTATACAAATGAAATCATGCAATATGTGTGGTTTCTTGTGTCTGACTTCTTTCACTTAGCATAATATTTTTGAGGTTCATCCGTGTTGTAGCATGTACTCGTAGTTTGCATCTTCTTTTTTTGACCAAATAAGATTCCATTGTAAAAATATATTGCATTTTATCTGTCCTTCACTATAGCCAATGTTTTTTCATCTGCATTTTCATGCTTTCCTCTCCAACCTTTATCCCTACTGAATTATTCAAAAGCCATTTTTAATTTCTTAGATGTGATAGTGTGAAACATTTATTGTATTTTCCTGCTTTTTATTTTTATTTTTCTAAAGCATCTTCTCTCTTCTCATTCATCTTGCCTGTTTCCTTTTCTGCATTTAACAAATTGCTTTACTGTGTTTTTTCCTTGATGAGTCTTTTTTCTTTGCTGTTTACAGTTTTGGTTGAGAATGAGGAGGTGTCTAGACCATAAACTTTTCGAGGATAGGGACTACACACACTCCTCGCTTATCAGCATGATTAGGTTCTAAAGACCAAGTCATCATGCGAAAATTGGGATTATACGAAAATGGAGGATGGCTACATCATTACATGACTGCCAAACTGCATCATTATATAACTGGCAAACCACTGAGAATCGTGGCCCAGCCAAGCTGACCCATAGCCTTTACCATGACAGCCAGCATTACTCTCCTCGCATCTCAATTCTCTTTATTACCAGATATACATCATTAATGCGCAGAATAGTCAGATAGTAGATTTTTTTGTCATTAATGCAAAAAGTCAGATAACAAGATAGTCGGTAAGTGAGGGGTAGGCGTAGTGTGCATTTTGTCATCTTCTATGTTGAAAATTTGTACATTCTCAGTGACAAATCCAGATATTGATGATTTCTTAAATTTTCTTTGGTAAGTCCTTCAGACTGGCCTCAGTATTATATCTTGGGCTGATCTATTTGTTTCTGATTCTCATGATTTTTTTTAACTCAGGTTGTTGGAAGAGGAGCCTTTGGAGTAGTCTGCAAAGCTAAATGGAGAGCAAAAGATGTTGCTATTAAACAAATTGAAAGTGAGTCTGAGAGGAAAGCGTTTATTGTAGAGGTAAGTTGAAATGTCATTTTTGGTAGTTCTTCTCATAAGTTACTCTGTGAATTTAATATTTTTAAAAAGATTGTTTTCCAGTTGTCATTTATCTGTATACCTGAATATTAACAGTTTAAACCAAAGGTAATGCCACTGGAACATTTTCTCATTCACACTGTTAGTTCTGATTAAAAATTAAGAAAAAGAAGACAACTACATAAGTGAATTCATTCCTAAATTAAAATAAAATCTCATCCATGTAATTCAGATTTATTTCAAGACCTAGAATTTCTATTTTAAAATAGAAAAGAAATGGTAGCCTCTCCCATTGTCTAAAATTAAGAAATTGTATGCATTTATTTTTACCTGAATATTTTTAGAAATTCAATTGAGATTAAAGAAAAAATAATTTCAAATTTAGTTTTTCTCATTTAGCATGAAAATTTACAATTCACTTCTCTTTCTAATTTGATAATGAAGGAAAATTCAGTAATCATGGTATTATTGTATTATCAGATTTATTCCTTTATTTGTTATTTTTACATTGGATCGCCATATGTGATTAAATCAATATTTCGACCTCATTTTAACCTTTTGACCAATGGATAATTGACCTTTTACCTTATAAGCCTTTGGAATTTGTATCTATGTTTTCATTTAATAATAATTTCAAAATATATTTCATGACTTTTTATGTGCAGTATGGAGAAATGAGAATTTGTTTATGATATGATCAAGTGAATTTATAATTAGTTGAATGAGTTGAGAAATACTATGAATGGTTTGATGTCATCATGAAGAAAAATGATGTCTGGTAGTGTGCTCCAGAGTCTGGCCTCAGCCTTACCTTATTCAACATTTTTATGATTTAGATAGGATCAAAAATCATATATATTGGCAGTTTCACAAAGCTAGGTGAAATAGCATATGTGTTAGTTGAAGGAATCAAGAGACAAAAGATCATTATAGCTTGGGAAAAAAATTTTTTAATCATGGCTATGCATCCATATAATTTAAGTAGTCAAAATGTTTTCCAAGGGTTCTTACCAAGACATTTCAGTCCCCTATACCTTCTCCTACCAAATTTTCTGCTTCCTGGAGACAACTTCACCACTTCTTTGTCAGTTTGTCATACTGTAGTGCCTTGCATATTGCTGTAAAGCTAGATTGGGCATTGGGCAAATCAGTGGCAAGAAACCTCTTTAAAGTGTTAAAAAGGAGAGATGTCACTTTGAGGACTAAGGTGCACCTGGCCTAAGCCATGGTATTTTCAATTGCCTCATATGCATCCGAAAGCTGGACAATGAATAAGGAAGACAGAAGAATTGACTCCTTTGAATTATGATGTTGGAAAAGAATATTGAATATACTATGGACTGCCAGAGGAATGAGCAAATCTGTCTTGGAAGAAGTATAGCCAGAATGCTCCTTAGAAGCAAGGATGTTGAGACTTCCTCTCACGTACTTTGGACATGTTATCAGGAGGGACTAGTCCCTGGAGAAGGATATCATGCTTGGTAAAGTAGAGGGTTAGCGAAAAAGAGGAAGACCCTTAATGAGATGGACTGACAGAGCGGCTGCAACAGTGGGCTCCAGCATAGCAACAATTGTGAGGATGGCGAAGTACAGGGCAGTGTTTTGTTCTGTTGTACATAGGGTCGCTATGAGTCGGAACCGACTTGACAGCACCTAGCAACAACAGCAACAGATATTAGACTTCTGGACTGGTTCTATAATTTTCTGCCTATAATTTTTTAATCTTTTTTACTCTCTTTCTTTTCTCTCTCTTTGTCTTTTTGGTCTACTTTCAGTAAGATTTTCTTACACACTTCAAATGAGTTTTAAATGTTTTGTGTTTTAAATTCCTATGTTCTTTATTTATTTATAATGTTCTCTTCTTATTTTATGGACATACTGTCCTGTCTTTAAAGATACCAAATTGTGTTTTCTTTCTCCTTATTTATATCTGTTTCTACCAAGGTGCTTTTTTTCTTTTGTCTGTTTTGGATTCTGTCTTTTATATTAGAAGCTTTCATCAAATGCTTTGTGATCCTTAACTTTCCACTCATATTTAAGAGGTGTTAGAAAACTGATTGAAAGGGTAGGTGTGTATTTGTATGCATGCACACATGCACCCTCACTTGAAGACAGTATGACTGGGTTGTTTAATGAGAAAAACCTCAGTGTCTACATTTTTAAGTCTTGTCTCTTGGACTAATTGAGTTCCCATCTTTTGCCTGGAGGGCATACATCTCTGTATTTTGAAAGTCATGTGGGAGAAGGCATAGAATCCCAACATTTAATGTGTAAAACTTTAAGTAATTTTCTCTGCTTTTATTTGTTTTCCCATCTCCTCAGTTGTGTTTGGGGGAGTTTCCTCTGCTGTTATCTGGGTACCCACCCCTTCAGTTGTATTTGATGTCCCCCAGTCCAGAAACTTTTTGTTATACCTTCTCTAAGGAGTAAACCTCTAATCTTCACTGGAATGATAAGAAGGCAGTCACTGGCTGCTTGAATTCAGGGAGGGAGTCTTTGGGTCTAACTTTCAACTAATCCCTTCTATCTTTTATTAGCTCATTTAATAAAATTTGCAGGGGTTCCTGGTACCACCTCCACTCCCCAAACTTTTGGGGATTTTGTACGATAAATCTGGTTGCTTCTCAGTTTTTCTTACTGTCAGTTTAGGATTTAGCTTTTTTAGATGTGCTGGGTAAATTATTATGGGTCATTTGCTTTCTAATTTGAAAAAAGTTTTCCTGTTTTCTTATTTCACATTCTCTGAGTTCATGCGTTTAAAAGATTCCTTTACTGTTTTAGCCGAGTTTGGGGAGAGAAAAAGAATAAATACTTGAAATCGGTCTGCTACCAGAAGCTCAGTTCTGAATCTTAACAATAAGATGAAATGTAAAAGTGACACTAATATTTTTTTTAGGTCCCAAAATCCACAAGTGTTGGCTGAAGAGAGATACAGCTTTCTAGTAGCTTATAATAAAATTTATAGATCTTAGTAGACTTACTGTGAGACAGCAGTGTAGTGTAGGTAATAGAGAAAGAGAGGAAGAAGAAGGGGGAAGTGCGGAAAAGAGAAGACAAAGGATAAAACAAAGAGCAAGAAGCAGTTAGAGAATACATTAATAGACAGTTGAGATCTAGAACAAAGGAATTAAGTATAGCCAAACTCCTCACTGGCTACAGTATGAAAATTGGATTGGAGAAAGTTAAAACTGGAAGTAAGGAAACCAACTAAAAGATTGTAGTACTTAACTGCAGTGGTTCATGTTAGAATTACTAAGGTAATGGCAATGGGAATGGAGAGAAGGGAATTAATTCAAGAGGTGGGAGATGGAGTAGAAGGAAGAGCCGAAATGTGCAGAAAGAGTTCAGATTTTAAGTCAGACATACTGAAGTTCAGACCTTGACTGTACCATTTCTAGCTGTAGGATGTTTAGCAGCTCACTTAACTCTCTGAGCTTCAGTTCCCTCATCTTTAAAATGAAAATGATAATACCTACTTGGCAGACTTGTGAGTATTTTATAATATCTATAAATTGCCTACAAGGGCCTGGCACATAAGGTGCACTGTTCAGCCATAGCCATGAAAATGATGATGACACCAGTGACAAGGCTTCCTCTGCTGGGATAACCCAGCTCTGTGCCATCTCTGGAACGGTTTCCTGACATTTTTTCTCAGGGTTATTTTTTCCTTCTGCTTTGGACTCATTCTGCCTTATTCATAATTCCTGCTATAGCACTTTGCACATTATTTGTTTACATTTGTATCTCCCCAACTAAACTGTGAGACCTGAAGAGCAGAGGGTCTGTGCCAGTCATCTTGGTATTCCCAGTGCCTATGCCCTTAGTGTCTGCTACATGCTAGACAGTAACTGTTGAGTGATTGAACAAATGCTTTGTACAACCATAAGATTTTAATGATTCTGTAACATCAGTACCTCAAAAGGTATCACTTTTTCAAAGAAATCTTAATCTGTTACAGCTTCGTCAGCTATCCCGTGTGAACCATCCTAATATTGTAAAGCTATATGGAGCCTGCTTGAATCCAGTAAGTTTGTCACTTTTATATTGGCAGCTGTCTATAAAAAATGACATGGGAGATATGTGGTCTTTAGTTTATGAAGCTATCTAGATTCACTATCTTAGATGTATTTCTGAAAAAAAAAAAAACAAGTTGCACCATTATTCATTTGTTTGTTTCTAGTCTTTTACAGCACAGTGTATTGGAGGAGTTGTCTTAGGTGGTCTTATCCGGTGATCTCATCTTCTTATGAGGCTTTTGTTATCCTGTGACAGCACCTACTCTGCACTGGAGAAATTCCCCCGAAAGAGCTTGTGATTGTGTTTTTTTTAACATTTGTATCTATTCTTAGACAGGCGACTCTTAGAAGAAAAGGTCTTAGATCATAGGTATTTTTTTTCCTCTAGTACCATTCATATAATAGGGGCTTAAGGAATGTTTTTTTAATGCATCTTAATGCATATATAAAATCAGAGAGTTAAATTATCTCTCAAGTCCCCTAAAGTACTGTAGTTCAGGGGTTAATTTTTCTGGCATATGTTTCCTTTAGGTGTGTCTTGTGATGGAATATGCTGAAGGGGGCTCCTTATATAATGGTGAGTGTCATTATACCTGTCTTTATCTAGTCAGTTAAAATAATTGAAAAGCTTTTAATACAAACTGTACTAAATTATTTAATGTTCTTCACAATTTACCATCAGAGTATCAGAAGAAGATAATTTTGTAAAATCTGCTAAAGATTAAAAGTGAAAAGATAAGATGTTACAACATTAGTACGTGACCTTTAGTAATCTGTCTGTTTTTTGTGGCTGAGAATCTACACAGCAAAACATACACCAATTCCATAGTTTCTACATGTACAATTTAGTGACATTGATTACATTCTTCGAGTCGTGCAACCATTTTCACCCTCGTTTTCTGAGTTGTTCCTCCTTCGTTAACATAAAATCACTGCGCCCTAAGGTTTCTATCTAATCTTTCAAGTTGCTATTGTCAATTTGATCCTATTAGATGGTTCTTAAAAGAGAATAATGCTCAAGGTGCACCTTTTTTACTAGTTAAACTACTGCTTGGTTTTAAAATGACTTCATGGGATATTTTTGGTTTAAGGTTTAAAGATTATCTCAGGGCAGTTGTTTTAGGGGTTCATCTACCCTTCATGGTCTAGAATCCATGAGAATTTGAAATTCTGATCTACTTTCCCCCCTTTTGATCGGGATTCTTCTATGGGATCTTTGATCAAAATCTTCAGTAATGCTGGCCGGGCACCATCCAGTTCTTCTAGTCTCATGCGAAAGACAGCAGTTAGTTGTTCATGGAGGCAGTTAGCTACACATTCTGTATCCTGCTCCTGTTCCTGACTGTCCTTCTTCCTCTCTTGCTCCAAGTGAATAGAAACCAGTTGTGCCTCGGATGGCTGCTTGCAAGCTTTTAAGACCCCAGGCACTATGCAGCAAACTAGGAGGTAGAATAAAAGCATTAAACATGTTATCAGGCCAGTTAACTAAGATGTCCCATAAAACCATGACCCTAAACCTCCAAACCAAGGAACCAAATACCATGAGGTGTTCGGTTGTACATAATCCGCTTTGGCAGCTGCTTTTTTTTTTTTTTTTGTCTTTGTTGTAAATACATCTATCACACAGTTTTTGCCAGTTCAGCTTTTTATAGGTGTACAGTTTATTTACAGCAGTTACAGTAATCGCCTGTGTGACCCTACCCTTAATCAGTGCGATTTTTCCATCACCATTAACTCCCCTTTTCCCCTTCCCTCCTGCTTCTGGTAACCACTGATATACTTTGATCTCTGTACATTTGCCTTTTCTTGTCTTCTTATGTAAGTGAGGTCATACAGTATTTGCCTTTCTGTGATTGACTGATTTCACTCAGCATACTGTCTTCAAGCTCCATCCATACTGTAGCATATGTCAAGACTTCATTTCTCCTGTGGGCTGAGTAGCATTCCATTGTATGTATGTACCTCATTTTGCTTATCCATTCATTTGTTGATGGGCATTTAGGTTGTTTCCACCTCTTGGCTATTGTGAATAGTGCTACAGAGAACATTGGTATACAACTCTCTGTTTGAGTCTCTGTTTTCAAGTCTTTTGGGTATATACCAAGGAGTGAAATTGCTGGGTCATACAGTAACCCAGGTAGCACAGTGGTTAAGAGCTTGGCTGCTAACCAAAAGGTAGGCAGTTCAAATCCACTAGCCACTCCTTGGAAACCCTATGGAACAGTTCTACTCTGTCCTGTAGGATTACTGAGTCGGAATCAACTCAACGGCAACAGGTTTGGTTTTTTTTTTGTTGTTGTTACGGTAGTTCTATTTTTCGTTTTTTTGAGGAACTGCCACACTGTTTCCCACAATGGCTGTACCATTTTTGCATTCCCACCAGCAGTGGATAAGGATTCCGATTTCCCCCATGTCCTCACTAACATTGGTTATTTTCTGGGTTTGTTTGTTGGTTTTAATCTTAGCCATCCTGGTAGGAGTGAAATGGTATTTTTCTTTGATGTATATCTCTCTGATGGCTAATAACACTGAGCATCTTTTCTTGTGTTTAGTAGCCATTTTGATGTCCCCTTCAGTAGAAATCTATCAATTTTTTAAATTGGTTGTGCTGGTTGTAATGTTAGAAATATTTAAGTAAGGTAAAATTTGCTTTTTTAATAGATTTTATAATATGTTCAGGCTTTTAATTTTTTTGTATTTGTTTTTGCTGTCTTTAGCTTTGAGTCTTCTCATTTTATAACTCCTTAATCTTACTTGCATTTCACTCTGCTTTGTTTTCTTTTTAAAAATGAAATCGGGAACACTCACTTCACAGAACATTTTAATTTTAATGAAGGAAAACTATCATTCGTCAGCTTTATAGAACAAAGCTAACTCTTCCACCCTAAAAACACCGACTGCATAAATAAGTGTATCATCTCTTCTAGCACCAATTTTGTACGAAGTTTTACATATATTGACTGCCCATGTGTTGTATCATTGTTACTAGATATCTAATACTCCATTGTTTTATTTGGTTGAACTATTTCTAGATTTTAGCTATTATAGAGAGCATAATTTAAACGTCTTGATAGAAATTATTTTGTTTCCACCTGTAGTGTTTCTCTACTCTTAAGGTAGTATGCTATCAGATTGCTTATATTTTATGTTACTGTGTGAGACACTATGTCTATCAGTTTGAAAGAACATAGTAATGTATATTAATTTTACTTGAATGTATGAGTAACATTTAATAGAAGCACAATTAAATTTTATGTACTTATGTGGCAGTTATCCTCTCAAAATTATAGATACTTCAGTCTTCTTTATCTAGTGAAGAATTAAAAGCAGGACTGATAAGAGCATGTGTAGAAGAAAACCTAGTCATGTGTTCTGATAGTGCTTGCATTCACCTAGTGTCTTTTGTTATATGCAATAAAGTTCTTTTTAGTTTGTGCCTTTCTCTTGCAGTGCTGCATGGTGCTGAACCATTGCCATATTACACTGCTGCCCATGCAATGAGTTGGTGTTTACAGTGTTCCCAAGGAGTGGCTTATCTTCATAGCATGCAACCCAAAGCTCTAATTCACAGGGACCTGAAACCACCAAAGTAAGTTCTAATAATGTGACCTCTTCCTCACCGTCCTCCCACCCCTCCACACTCCCTAATTCAAACTGATTGTTTCACATATAAGTTTGTCTTTTCTCTACCCTTTTGGCTTGTTCAAATATGTTTAACTCACCTTCATCATCTAGGAATTTAAGCTTGCATTTTAGAATGTTGTCTTTAGTGGACTTTTCATTTGGAATAACTCCTACCTTAAATTAGCATAATTCCAGAATCTTTTAGCCCACAAATCTCAGTTTCTGCCTGCAGTATATAATATTGCCTGTAGAGTTATTTGTTCCATGAGAGCAAGGACAAGTCTGTCTTGTTACCGGCTGTATCCCCAACAATTAGCATGATGTTCATACATAGTAGGCATTCTGCAAAAATTTGCGAAGTGGTTATTACTTGCTCTTTCAGAGGAAAGCCTAAAGGCTTCTTTGGTATCCAGGTAGAAATTTAAAATATTCTGGATTTCTCCATATTGACAATTTTGGGCCTTTGAAAAATCTTAGAAGACCCTTAAATAAATATCTTAAAGAACTAAAACTTTTGTCTGTTTTTTTATATTTGTATAGGCACTCAATTAAAGGAAACACATATGTGATATCTGTTGTCCCCTTTTCTCTGATTTCTTTTCTTTGATTTTTTTCTTCTTTATCCCCCCATGACAGATTAAAACCATCAGTCCCCACATATTTTCGCTCCCACACTTACCAGTCCTCAGAAGTTTCCCCTAGGAAATCAGTCACAAGTATAGTCTCAAGTTACTCCAGTCTCTTCATACTGGTTTAAAGCATTAAAGATCCCTTCTGGGTGTAACATGTCACTCTCATGTCTAATTTGATGCACTCTGCGTAGGTTCCAACTCTTGAAATTACTGTTCTTGGTAGTGTGCTTTATTTCTGTTACTAAGTGTGAATGGATTTCTGTTTCCCTGGGTCCTAGCAAAATAATGTTTAAGCTACAGATTCATGGTACTTTCATGTTTTTAACTTGACTCCTGAGGCTGTTGTCTTAGCTACCCTGAGTTGGTTAGTGAAGAAAAAATCGCTTATTCTTTTTTCCTGGTTATGGATGTTCATGTCCCTTTTTTTCCTGCTGTATTAACTCAGAGCTGTATTATCAAAGCAGACTCATGAGAATCATAGATCTTAACGCAGCACCAAATTGACTAATGATGCAAAGGTTACAGGTAAGCATCAAGCATAGACAGTGCATTCTTTTCCTGGAGGGGCCTGAAACCATCAGATGCAGCTTCCCAGAGTGTCCTTTTTATTCCACATTAGGATATATTTTGTTTTGGAATAACTGACTGGTTATTGAACAATATATGTGGAAACACTGCTCACAGAAGGAAGTCACTTTAGTTTTCTAACATCTCCATTTTATATTCTGTGAATTAAACAGTTTAAGCAGCTACCACCATTCTCCATCCAGTGATGCCTCATAAATCCATACATTTCAGGTGTATTCGAGAAACCTAGATTAGACAGATCAGATATATCCTACTAAAATTATTTTGTAGCTAGAAACTCTCCTTTTACTAGTAAATATCATTACCATATTTACAAGAGGGAGGTCTGGTCTGCGTCATTCATTCCTCAACTCTATGGACATCCCTATAGCTGAACTCATACTGTTGTATTGCAGATTTTTTTGGAGTACGCAGTGTTGGTTGGCTTTAGAATTACAGATGAATTTTAGAATTGACTAGAAGGTACTGGGGAAAAGAAAATTCTTTGTAATGGCTATGCCTTCATGTATAAGTGCATGTACAAGCACATGTTACATCTTTACTCTTCCCGGAAAACCTACTGACTCTGGTCAGGAAGAGTTTCTCAGAACGGCATGCAAAGGCACCTGATGATTTTTTTTTTTTTTTTTTTTAATGAAGAGAAGTTTATTTCCTCATAGTCAAAGTAGGCTAAAAGTCCAAATTTAGGGCTTCAGCTCCAGGGGAAGGCTTTTTCTCTCTGTCGGCCTTCTTCTCTTCAGTGTTCCCCCAGACTAGGAGCTTCTCTGCACAGGGACCCCAGTCCAAAGGACGCGCTCTGCTCCTAGCACTGCTATCTTGATGGTATGAGGTCCCCCTGTCTCACTGCTCACTTCTGTCTTTTATATCTCAAGAGATTGCCTCAGGACACAATCCAGTCTTGTAGATCCAGTCCTGCCTTACTAACATAACTGCCACCCATCCTCCCTCATAACATCATAGAGGCAGGTTTACAACATACAGGAAAATCACACAGTACCAGGAATCATGGCCTAGCCAAACTGATACACACATTTTTTGGGGGACATAATTCAAACCATGACATTCCACCCTTTGACCTCCAAAAAATCACATCCTTGCAACATGGAAAACATATTCACCCCATCATATCGTAGCAAAAGTCTTAACTCCAAGTCCAAAATCCAAAAATTCCTCTTCATCTGTGAAATCTAGAATACAAGTTATCTGCTTCCAAAGGTACAATGGCAGAACAGGCACAAGCTAGACATTTCCATTACAAATGGGAGAAATTGCAGGGAAAGAAGGAGTAACGGGCACCAAGCAAGTCAGCAGAACACATTACACTAGCCCTCAGGGCTTTGAAAATTATCTTCTGTTCTCAGAGACAATTTACACAATAGCCCTGCCCTCCAGACTGTAGGTATTAGGCCACAGTCTCTGGATTTTGAGTAGAGGCCCCTCGGCCCTGGGCTTCAGCTCCGCCTTTCAGGCCCCCTGGGACAGCTACTCTGCTCCCTTGGCTTTAGGCACACCATTCTCCCAGTCCATCTGAGTGGTGACTCCACCCTTAGAAGCACCAGAGGCCATTGCTCCACCCTTTGAAACCCCTGAGGTCATGGCCATACCTTTTGAGACTCAGGCTGCTCGACTTCTTGTGTCCCTTGTCTCTTCAGCTTCTGCTTCTGTTTCCAGTGGCCTCTTGGCCCTCGGGCCTCATAGCTACATCTGCCCTGCTGGGGCAAGTGTTCCAAAGCTCTGTAGCTCCACCATTAAGTGCCCAGAGGCACCCCACTCTTCAGGAAGCCTTCTGCGCACAGGCACTCAGCTCCCTCGCTCTGTGGGTCGGCAAGCCTAGCTCACCGATAAGTGCCCAGAGGCACCGCATTCCGCCAGGAAGCCTCCCCCGCACAGGCATTCAGCTCTCGCTCCGTGGGTTGGCTCCAGCTCCGTCTTTCACCGGTCTCCTCGTTCTGCTGTTGTTGGTTCTCTGCTGCTGTAGGTTCTCTGCTGCTATAGGTTCTCTGCTGCTGCTGGTCCTCTGTCACTCCCACATGTCTATCCATTCACAGTTTTAAAACCGCTTCCACATTCTAGGTATCTATTTGAGCAGCACCCCACTCTCTCGGTACCAAATTCTGTCTTAGTTATCTAGTGCTGCTACCACAGAAATACCACAAATGGATGGCTTTAATGAAGAGAAGTTTATTTCCTCATAGTCAAAGTAGGCTAAAAGTCCAAATTCAGGGCAACAGCTCCAGGGGAAGGCCTTTTCTCTCTGTCGGCCTTTTTCTCTTCAGTGTTCCCCCAGACTAGGAGCTTCTCTGCACAGGGACCCTGGTCCAAAGGACGCTGTCTGCTCCTGGCACTGCTTTCTTGATGGTATGAGGTCCCCGGCACCTGATCATTTGATGAGGTGTTTTATTACAGTATCAAGTTGTACTTGTGCCCTCATTTTATTTATCTTTTAGAAATTCTTTTACATGAACATCAGAAAGAAAAATGTGTTTTTAGTCTTAACTGTGAAAGTAAGGCTGAAAAGATCATTTAGGTTCAGATTTCAGTGAGCCTTGAATGTCATGCCAAGGACTGGTGAACTATTAAAGCCTTATGAAGAGAGGAGCACTAGCATAAAAGTCATGGTTTAGAAAAATTATTGTGGTATCTTGACTGTGCCAGAATGAAACAAGGAAACCACTCACAGAGTTTTATAATCACCTTGATAAAGAGTAGTAAGAGCTTGAACAAGAAGATTTTTTTGTTGAAATGTATATAGAGATAAGTGGCATTTAGCATTCTTTCCACTTGAATTATCATGAGAGTATTTTTGGCAGTATAGAGATGTGGATAGTAGTTTATCTGGCTTTTTTACTCACATTGGACTGAAAGGGAACTAATTTTCTAAATAATCTCTCGAGTTAGAATTTAAATACAAAATTATATGCAAAAAGTTTATAGAATTTGCAATTAAAATGAATTCTTATATACTGCTGTTGGCTTTTTTCTTCTATATTGATGTATTCTACTTTATTTTCTTTAATTAAATTATATTTGTTGGTTTTATTATTTTAAAAATAATACATGCTCATGATCAAAAACATAATCAAATTACATAGAATACAAAGTATATGAGTCAGACTCTACTTGACGGCAATAGGTTTGGTTTTGGTGGTTTTCTTGCCTCCTAGTTCCACTCCCCAAAGGTATATATATTTTTCTAAAGCATACATGGATTATATTATATATGATGTTGATTTTTTTTTTCTTTTGCTTACCTGGATATCTTCGTATCAGTATATACAGATGTTTACCTCTTTATTTTTAATGGATAAATAATATTCCTTTATTGCCTCTTAAGTAAAGTGAATTCTTGAAATAGAAACTGTTCTTGGCCTTATGAGCAATCTTAGACTTTGAAGACTTGATTTGTAGCTGCTTTTAGGAAATATAGTACAACTGAGTCATTTGACATTTTGAGATTCTATAATTTTTAATGCCCTAAGTTGGTGCTTCTTGAACTTTCCCACCCCTCAGAACAAAGTTATATTGTGTAACCCCAGTAGTTCTGAGAATAGGGACAGAGCCCAAAGAAGCCTTCTTAAGGAAAGTTTCGTGAGAATTTTATATTATAACTTCATGTAATATGCAATTTGTTTTAAAATAAATGTTAGTTTGGGGAATGGATAGTGGTGGTGGTAGCACAGTATGGTGAATATAGTTAATGTTACTGAATTGTACACTTAAGAATGGTTAAAATGTCCAACTTTTT